CTGTGATGACGGAGCGATTGTTGGCGATATAATCTAAGAGTTCGTGGAGCGCCAGTCTCTTGATTTCCTTAGACTTCATATCAGCCGTCGGGTCATTGAAGTCGAAAATGATGTTGCACTGGTCAATCTTCTGCATGAACAGGTCCTGACGTCTATTGGGTGGGACTTCGTGGAAGCCAGGGAGTTTCTCAAGCTCCCGCTGACGCTGGTCGGAGATATCGAATCGCGACGAATGCTGGCGCTTGGGGGTTCTGATGCCTTCGGACATGTCTTTAGGCGTCGTCTGAAGGCGATCAAAGACATGGGACTTCCTAGGAGGAGCCAGGTCGCCTGGCATTGTCTCAGCCGCACCGGGAGGAGGGACATGATGCTGCGCAAAAAGCACGGTTAGATGGGCTCACGAGCGACAGAATTGACGCGCACGCCATTCGGATCAGGAGTGAAATGACTTACTGGGCCACTTGGACTAATGACCACACTAGGAGCCATCGGCTGTCCCTGCTTGGTAGGAGTACCTGAACCACCGTTAACCACCGGTTGACCAGTGATGTTTCTTCGGCTGCGAATTGGAATACTAACCAGGGGGGTAGATTCCGGCCTGCGCAGAACTCTCCGGCGACTTTCCTCTGGTATCATTCACGGAAGTTGTGGACGAGGTCGGGGTGCCCTGGTTGGGGGAAGAAGATTGCTGGCCATGGTGAACCCCGAGGGCGGCGTTGTTCTGGGAGGAGGCGTGGGAGGAGTCTTTCTTCTTGGAGGATTTGTTCGCGTCTTTCGCCCTCGACAACTGCTCGTGCTATGGAGGTCAGCCCAATTCGGGTGGTCGGCCGGCGAAGCTGGAGGGAAATGGCGGAGGCGGGGAACAGCTAAGGGGCGGAAGGCGACGAGGGCGAACTCACCACTCTCTGTCTGAAACCCTTCATCTTGACGACTAAACGAACAGCCACATGTACTCGGTTTGGGGACTCGGTGCCAGTGCAGCAAGAAGCCGCACCCTAGCAGGAGGGATGGAGTCGGGCAGGGCGGAGGCGATTCAGGAGAGCCACGTCGGGATTTGTTTATGTCGGCCTAGGAATGACCACATGAGCATTTGCAGCCACAACACAACGCAGCATAGCGCTTGTTTCGAAATTCAGAGAGGCGGTAGTTTGCAGGGTTGGCTTGTAACAATTTCTTGGGAAGGCAGGCGATGGAAGGTGATGCGTAGTCGGATGGGGAAGGGTGGTGAGGGGAATTATCGAAGGCTTGGGACGCAAACGCAGCACCGGGCAGAATAGCGGGCAATTCGCAGAACAGGCGGTTGAGATGGTAGAGGGACCGCGGTGAGAGGATCGAAACAAACAAGGGGCGGAGCGGGAAGCAGAAATGGAACATGAAACTATAAGCTGCAGGACTTACCTTAGGAAATTCGAGCTGGGACAATTGAGAGGGAGTGAGGCGGGGAGAGGGGGGGGGGTTCAGGTTGTTGGGTGGGAAAGTGGAAAGAGGAGGATCGATCTCTCACACTGCTGTGTCTGTCTCTCTTTGGCGCGAATGGGAGCGGTATAGGGAACCGCAGTGCAGTAGCCAGTCAGTCAGTTGGCAGTCGGTCGATCGCCTTTGCCGTGGTCGCTTAGCGGGTTTGGCTTAGAGAGCGGGGGTGCAACAAGAGCCCCGGGGGGAAAAGAGAAAAGTAAATCAAACTGGCACGGTCAACAATCCACGAGGGGCAAGGAAAATGATAGTAGATAGATATGACGAGATGAGATTGTTTCCAACGGATCGGTCTGACAGACCAGATGAGACACGAGGCGGGGAAGCCAAAAAAAAAAAAAAAAAAAAAAAGGTAGCGTAGCGTAGCTTAGCTGTCAACGGGATGGAAGAAGTAGTATGAAGGTTTGGGGGGATCCTCGGAAGGGAAGGGGGTGGGTGAGTGAGTGAGTGAGTGAGTGAGAGCAAGTGAGTGAGGGAGTGAGCAAGTGAGCGAGTAAGAGAAAGAGGTTAAGGTCATCAATCGAATGCTGGGTTGTGGCTGAGGAGATGAGAAGAAGCGCTCGGACTGACTGTTGCTGCTGTTGCTGCTGTTTGCTGCTGCACCTGAACTGCAGTTGGTTCCAAAGAAACAGGCAAAGTGAATCACAGTGGTTCCGGTTGGTCTACAGAAACACTGCACTAACAGTCGACATACATCCAGTACTGGATGCAATATGAAGTACGTACTGGCACAATTTACTAGACATCTACTGTACCTATCTGTGTCGCGAAATCATCTGATGGTTTACCACGGAAGCACTAATGTCCAGCCAGATTGGCGATGGTCTAGTCTGTTTCAGACCGTCGGGCTTGGAGACTGAGGCTTTCCATTTCGGGATGAGTTTTTCTCCCCTGGCCTGGATTGTGATGACGGTCACGTGATATGCGGATAGATCCCACCTCCGATTTCACCTCGACGAGATGAGATTCTCCTGAATAGATGGTGATAGTCAGAAGACGGTAGTCTCTTCTGTCGCTTCTGCAGATTTGTATCAGGGGTCGGCCAGAATTCCCTTCTGTGTGGAAGAAGGTAAATCACAATTTTCATCAACTGACGTCACATGAGTGTGCATCTCTCCGTCGCATACTTTGGTTTACTCCACCGAAAATATATTGAGCACGCGGTCGACCATCGGATCTATAACCGCACCAGAAAACGTCATATCACACCCTAAAACACCAAAAAGAATCGCCATGACAGACTTCACGGATTCCAGAACGGCCCTGTTCTATTCCATCCCCGCTCGCCGCATGGTCAGCGTGGAACATCCTGCTATCATCAAAAATGTCGACAAAGCCCTTGATACCCTCCGCGGCGATGCAGGTGTCACGCGAGTAAGCAGAATAGCCCAACAGACTCCAGAGTACAAGACACCACCGTTTGACAATGCAGACTAGATCCTCAACCCTCCCAAGGCGGACAGCCCGGCCAGGCTCTTCCTCCGGCCGGAGGATGCCATGTCCAGACCGATGAAGTCGATCAGCTCGACGGCCAACAACATCCTGGTCAAGGTCACGGTGCCCAAGCGGACGGGTCGCAAACGCAAGAAGGGCTCCGATGAGCCGTTTACCGGGGTTCCAATCACCACGGGGCATGTGGAAGCTGCGCGACACAGCGCGCGGGAAGTGCTGCAGAGCCTTCGCGACAACGTCGGAAGGTATCAAGTTGAGCCGGTAGGGATGATCGAGCGGACGCATGTATTTCGAGGTGAGAACTTTTCTGCTTTATGGAATCCATCGACAGGCACTAAACGGAGTTAGGAATGCCGGACTTTGTCTTCTCGACGGCATCGAGCGCATTTGCAAACAAGTTCCGCGAGCATATCTTGCCGTTCGACTGTAAGCCGTTGCGCCCGCCTCCCAAGCACATGAAGATCAAACTGACCCTCCAAACAGACGAGAGGATGAAGCAATTTGACCTAGACATGACCAAAGGCATCACTTCGAACGTGGACATTATCCCTCCACCCTCATTCAGCCACGGTGACCTGCCCTTCAACTACATGTAAGCCCTCCCCTCCCCCCCAATCCTCCCAAAACCAAAACTAACACCCCTCCCCAAGCTACCGTCAAAATCCAACGATGCAAAAGTCCATCGACACCACCGGCAAAATCACCACCGTCAACACCCAACGCACGGTCAAAGTGCACACGCACCTAGTCCCCTACGACATCCCCGAAGTCCCCACCCAGCCACGGGACAACTGCCCCCCGGTCTCGACCCTGGACCCAACGCTCCAAGAAACCATCACGATCCTGCAGGGCCTCTTCAGGTCGCGACCCGCCTGGACGCGGCGGGGGCTGCGCAACGCCCTGCCGACCGTCGAGAAGCGGTACGCCCTACGCCACGCGATCCCCTACGTAGGCTACGTCTTCCGGTCAGGGCCGTGGCGCGACGCGATCATCCGGTTCTCGCACGACCCGCGCAGCTCACCCGAGAACCACATCTACCAGACCCTAATGTTCCAGATCCAACCGCGAGACGCCGACGTCGCGCGCGACGGCTACTTCGGCGCCAGCACTTCCGTAACCAACAACAACAAGGACGGCGCCCGGCGGCACGCCTACTTCCGCCCCAACGAGGTGCCGCAGTTCGACCCGACCGCCTCCTTCCACAACCAGCTGCACCACCAACCGGGTCAGCTGCCCACGGACACCCACCTCTTCACGGGGCAACCGCCGCTGGCCCGCGACGGCCGCATGTGGATGTACTGCGACATCCAGGACCCGATCCTCCGCAACATCCTCTTCCCAGCGGGAGACGGAAACCCGCCGCCGCAGGGCTTCCTCCGCGACCAGTGCGACGTCCTCACCGACGGGTGGTACGGGAACGGCACCCTGGCCAAGTTCAAGACCATCATGCGCCACAAAGTGCTGGGCCTGCTCGACGACCGCGCCACCGACGACGCCGAGTTCGAGCAGATCCTCGCCCTGCCGGACTACGCTACCCCGGAGTCCATTAACACTGACTTCTGGTTGAATCCCGCCACCGCCACCTCCAAGAGTACCATGATGGCTACGGAGATCCGCGCCATCATCAAAAGTGCGCCGGCGTTTCGGGAGCGGGCCGCCGCGGATAAGCGGGCGGGCAAGAGACGGAGGGGTCGGGGCATGGCGACGAGGAGGAGCGCGGCGGGGCGGCGGGTGCAGTTCCGGGAGGATGTGGTTGGTGGGGAGGAAGAAGAAGAGGTGGAAGAGGACGAGGAGGAGGAAGAGGAAGAGGAGCAATTAGATACACAGGGAATGGAGGTCGGGGAGGAGATGGGTGAAGGGGAGGAGGAGGCTTATGAGCAGGAGGAGTTGTTGGAAGCCCAGGCGGCGGAGGCGGCCGCTGCGGTGTCTGCTGCAGTTGAGGAGGATGAGGATGAGGTGGATGAGGATGACGACGAGGGCGAGAGTGAGCAAGATGAGGACATTGATACCTTCAGATGATTACGACTATCTGGAAGCTGAGATACAAATGAAGCACACGATAATGTTAACTCTGTTTCGGATTGTATCAAGTTTCATTTATTGTAGCTAGCTAAATTTAATCTAAGTTTAAGTAGATGATAATGGTAGGTATTTCGTATAAGACATTAGACGGCATGACGCATTCTCTGGCCATTAGCTGATACATGCAGACACAGGCGTTCATCGAGTTATGAGCGAGGGAAAGAGTTAGTAATATGAGTTGTCCAGCCTCGGATAAATATAAGTCGCGCGGTGTAGGTAGTATGGTCAAGGTAGACGAGAGAAGGTGGGCCTGTGAGCGCGAAGGGGCACAAGGGAAGGGTCGCTGAGTCGTGGTGATGTAGGTCGAATAGGAAAAGATCAACATAGAAAAAGAAATCAGAATGACAGTAGCCAGTAGGGTATCCATATAATGCACTCTCGAGCTTTCCAGACGCCAAAACAACAAACAACCGAATAACAACCAGTAGAACACCTTTTGCGATGCAAAGCGCGCATCAAGCGCTAATGAATGACTCCGCAGCTGCTTCATCTGCCTCAGCTGCTTCTTCCGCAGCACTTGCGCTTTCCCAGATCTCAATTTCAGCCTCCGTTGGCTCCGGCTTGGCGTCAGTGGTAGCCTCAGCTGGAAGGGAGGCCTCGAGAAGGGAGGAGATGGTAGAAACACTCGAAAGCTTGCTGGGGATGGAACAAGGGCTGGTGCGCGAGGAAGGGTGGAGTGGCGCCTTTTTCTCAGCGCCGTCTATCTCCTCCTCATCATAAATGACGACATAGGAGAACGCATGGCAATCATCGCCGTAAAAGTCAGCGGCATTCAGGTCCCCAAGAGGCTCTCGGGACTCCTCCATCATGACCGATTTGCGAGCTGCGGCGGCAGGAGACTCCTGCTCGCGAGAGCGTGGCAGATCCAATCCTAGTTCCACGGGAGGGACATTCTCCTTGCCACGACCCGAGGTCTCTGCTTTGCCCTCCTGGTCATTGATGTCCAGGACGCAAGTAGAGTGTTGCATCAAGTTCGTCATTTCTTCTTGTTCGTTATCAACATAGATATCGAACGCCCAGGAAGCCGGTGCTTTGGGAATGGACTGGCGCTTGGGCTTTGGACCTGACAAGGCAGCCGCGAGGGAGAAGGGGCGGTGAACGGATTTCCGACCGGTCGATTCAAGTCGGCTCTTAGCGATGGTGGAACGTCGAGAAGAAGATTTGCATGACTTTGGTTGAGGCGAGCGTCCAGCAGGCTTGAGAATAGGTGCTGACTTGGGAGTAGACAGAATCGGCTTGGTCGGCGTTGCAGGCATACGAGGAGCACTGCTTGGTTCGAGTGTGGTCAGAACCACGCGAGAGGTCTTGGACGGCTTTGAAGAAATCTTGATCGCTGGTTCGGAGTCGTCGTCGTCCATAGTCCGCTTCCGCTTGGTCGAGAGCTTAAGAGTGACTGGGTCGATATTCTCCGAGTCAACATCCACTGTTGGCTGGGTCTTCTTGGACAAGATGGCACCTGAACCACGGCAGTCAGTACCCCAATCAGGAGACGGATGAAGCGGAGATGATGGGTCACAAAACATACCATCTTGTTTGTTTTTCAGATTCAGCTTGGACCGGAGCAAGGAACGCATGCGAGGTGCATCCAGGCTGGCGAACGGCTGGCGAACGGCGGTCGGGGTCATGGTAAGAGCGGCCATGTCGACGAGTGGTGGTGATCGCAAGCACCAATTGAGTAGAACTCGTTGGAGGTGGAAGAAGGGGAAAGGGTGGAAGATGTAAAAATAGGAGCGAGCGACCGACAGGGACCGGCCGGGGCAATGAATCGGGCGTTGCAGTGACTGACAGACGAGTCTGTTTTGGTCGACGCCGTGGAGTTACCGGGCAGGATGGAAGGTGATTGGCGGCGGAGGATGATCGACGGGTTTAGGAGCGAATCGAGACAGCAATTGATGTGTGTGTTTCAATAAAGCTGATACGAGCTGGACCACGATCTCGTTATCGGAGCCAGCCAAGTCACTCGAGCGGGGGGGGGGGGGGGGGGGGACAGAGAAAGGGAAACGAGCGAGCCGGAAGAAGGAAGATATAAAGAGTTTCAACCAGGCAAGGGTTGCAGTGGGTGTGAAGTGGGTGTGAAGTGGGTGAAGTGGGTGAAGTGGTTGAAGTGGACGGTTGGGGGGGGGGAGGCAGGAGATCTGTAACGGGATAATCAAGTACGCCTCTCACGTACGTTGGAGGTATCTAGAAGGTCATTCCTGCCTGCACAGTGACTGGAACGAGGAAGATAGGGATGAGTGGGATAGTGGAAGAGTGGGAGGGTGGTGATGAAAGTGGCAGTAGTAGGGGGGGGGGAGCGAAAATGGGACCATGGGAGTCTGTAATGTATAAGTAGGCATGGAGAATGTGGGAATTGGGGAGGAAGTTGGACGGAAGTGAAGGAAGTCGCGTCAAGTTCGTGTTTATTCCTTGTCCCAAAAGGGTAATAGTGGTAACATTCAGTTAGTTCAGTCAATTCCGGTTCCAAGTTTACCTTCAGCTTTGCCCAGTAACTATACTTCCAGGCATTAATCACCACTAATGCAAGGCTGCACTCTCCATAATTGCCTGATAATTGGTTGATGCGACAGTCGCATTCTCCTCTTTCCCCTCCATCGTCTCGTTCTATTCTTCTTCCTAGTCCCTACACGTCTTGCTCCACCCCCCCCTCTCCACCTCGAGGCGCGTCGCGTTCAGCTTCAATTAAGTTGGCTATGGCCCCTCCAACCCCACGCTTATTATTGAGTTGCAGATCTAACAGCTACTAACTGATCCATTGATCTAGTGGTTTTAAACATTACTCAGTACTTCTACAGAAATCTTAAGCATGATGAAGTCAGTCTCTCACGATGGTTGCACAAGCTGGAAACCACCGTAGCCCCCACTGATCTTCTGTTCTCTGCATCCCTTCAACGCGTTGCCCATCACGACCCCCTTCCTTTGTCGTCTCGTCGCGTCTTCACCACCATTTCTCCTCCTCCACTCCTTCGGCTGCTCCATAGCGCTCGCTGGCTTGGCAACTCTGTCGCGTGTCCGTCAATAGTGGACCACCTCGACATCGGCTCCATCCCATTGTTTCACCAGCTGCATCCCTTGAATGCGGCGCTATTACCGGCGGCTACCAGCCCGTCAACCCATCCTCATCTTCCGCAGTATACTTCCCATGGCCACAATACAGTCCCTCTCCTCACCTAGTACCTAGCACCACCAGTTTCAACCTCTCCCAAACTCTCAATTGCATTACCGCTGAAACACGGACAGCCCCCAAATAAAGATCCTTACTCGCTGCACCTCGAGCATCCCACCTAACGGTCTATAATTATCACTACTTGACATTTCATTTCACCTCCCTCCCCCCCCCGGCCCCATATTCAAAGGGGAGCTATGCACGTTGCTACGCGCCGGAACAGGATTACCCCGTGAACCAGCCGGGCTCGCCGAGGAAGGCCGTGAAGCATTCCTCAGGGGGTTTCTTTTTATGGTTTCCGCCGGCTGTCGGGGGGCGACGCATGTGCTTTATACCCAGTATGAACTATCTGCCATGGCAGTGTGGTGGCGGCACTTCACATTCCATTCTTCGCGACAGCTAGTGACGAACCACCACCGCCCCTCTGCCCTCGAGGATTGGCTATGGCATACAGACAGACTCATACAGACATCCATGCAGGTCGCCCTGCTGATGATGCAGTCTTTCGGGGTTGCCACGGCGCCGCCGCATGGGGAAACCCGGCTTCTCGACTTTGATACTGACCGTGAAAGGGTACTGTCACCACTTGCTGCGGGGAGGAGCCTCTTCGTCTTTATGCAGCAGGATGGATCGGCCCAGAACCACTGGAAGCTTAGCAGTACTAGTCTGATGATGTGCTGTCTTGTGTAGTCTAAGCGCGCAGCGTGTGCCTAGTGTGGTATGGTCCCTAGTGATGAATTGCCAAAGCCGCCTACACCCTCTCCTCTTCTCGAAGTCTCCAAAGACCCGGGAATTGAACAAGTTAAGGAACCAGCCCAACTCGGTACACAGGACGGTGCATGCTAAACAGACCCCTATACGTGCTTGTCGTAGGCGGCATAGGCAACAGGGGACGTTCATGGCCCGCGAGTCGGGCTAATTTGCAACCTTGCATTGTAAAGTACGAGCTGCTGGACTATGATACAAACCCCGCCGGTTACTCCTCTTGAAACCCTTCCCCGGTTCGGTGTGCGCTCACTGCAGCTGTCATTGGCCTCGCCCATGAGGTTGAGAAGAAGGCTCCAGCCTTTCCGAGACAGCCAAGCTCCACCCTAGCATGTCGCGAAGCTCACTGGTGAGTTAGAAATCGCTGTATCTCGTCAATGCATTCAAACGAAAATGTCATCAAATCATGATGTGGAGCGCTTGTCTAAGTTATTATGTGCGTTATATTGATTGTTCTAAATAGATAGGTTCTCGTAGACTGGGAGAAAACAACCTGCGCCGTACACCGTTCATCCTCGCTGTGCCCGAAACCCAATTTGGTATGTAAACGAGATTCCGCCAAAAAAAAAAAATCATAATCAGAGAAGCAGCAGTCATGACCGTTCGCTGGATGTCAAACCGAGAGATCCAGAGGCCGAGAAAAAGCAGAGACATTAAACACCATGGCGATACACCTGGGTTCCACCAGAGCGGATTTGAACGGTATCCCGGCGCTGCATGACCACCAAAGCCCGGTGGAGGGCTTGTTCGGTGTATCCTCTGCCTTCCACGAACTCGCGTTTCAAGGTCGCCAGGCTCGTGCTCCAGCCGATGGGGAGACGGCGCTTCAGTTCGTCTTCGATCTTGCTGGCTTCTTCCATCATCTCCTTGCTTCCCTGGCCCTCACCCTGGTTGACCGCGTCCATGGTTGAGGCCAAGAAAAGACGGATGGCTTCGTCGACGTGAGCCTCCGTTGCGATGGGCGACAGGCTCAACTTAGCCAGCGATTCAGTGATACGCACAATGGCCTCGAGTTGACGGACGGTGATGGGGATGGACGACCGAGTGCCAGCGTCGACTTCGTGACGGTGGACCTGCTTCCGGATAGTGACAAAGTGTGACGACAGCTTTTCGGCTGCTTCATCGGACAGGCGAGGTGCGCAACGGCTGTTGTGTTGTTAGCATGTCTATTCATAGCATTCGAAAGATTGGTGGTAACATACGTGCGGCAGTAGCTGATATACCGCTTCATCTTCTCCAAGGGGACCTCTGCTTCGATCTGTTCCTCAATGCCTCGTCCGCCCATGTGAACACCCATGACGTGTCTGGCAATACTTTCGTCGCGGCTGCGCTCGTGGTCATCTCGCACAATGAAGATCATATCAAAACGCGACAGGATAGTAGTCTGGAAATCGATGTTCTCGCCCGGAGTCTTCAGGTCATCATAACGACCGAAGATGGGGTTGGCTGCAGCCAAAACAGACGTACGGGAGTTGAGGATCGTGGTGATACCGGCCTTGGCAATCGAGATGGTCTGCTGTTCCATGGCTTCGTGAATAGCAACACGATCTTCGTCTCTCATCTTATCGAATTCATCGATACAGACAACTCCGCCGTCAGCGAGCACCATGGCACCTCCTTCTAAGTAGAATTCGCGCGTAACGTGGTCACGTTGTACGGAGGCGGTCAAACCCGCCGCGGACGAACCCTTACCGGAGGTATAGATTGCGATGGGCGAGACCTTCTCGGTGAACTTGAGTAGTTGCGACTTAGCGGTACCGGGATCACCAAGCATGAGGACGTTGATATCACCACGAAGTTTCATCCCATCGGGAAGAATCTTCTTGGAGCCACCCATCAGCAGACACACAATAGCTTTTTTGATATCTAGGTTCCCGTAGATCGACGGGGCGATACTTCGTGCCAACGCATCGTACAAATCGGGACGACGACTGAGTTCCAAAAATTCCTGTTCTTCCTCCTCAGAGAAAACAGCATTGCCCTTGGCAGTATGGTCGAGATCCGTGCTGATACCAACAGCCCGCAGATACGGGTTGCGGATGGCGACTGCTCCATCCTTCTTTCCGCCCTTCGATGATTGATAGATTGAGAAAATACCCATGACTGTGCAACGAGAACCAGGTACAACTCGGTTGGCGAGGTAGCGATCGGCAGAGATGAGGACGTGGCGAGGAAGTTCACCCACAGGAACCTGATCAGGCGCCTCCTGCAGCTTCAGGACTTGCTGATCGACGAAGTGGCACTTCTCGTGCGAAACAACATATGGATCGAGCGGGCACGGCTCCGAGTTAGGATCGCCTGGCTGCTTTTCACGGCCACATTTTCTGGGGAGCTGCATCCCTGCGAATCCACCCTCAACCGTGAGATTTTCGGTATAACCACAGTTTTTGCATCGGAGATGCATCTGCGTAGCTTTGGACGATATCGTCGAGGCGCCAATGACGATACCCGGAATTCGCACGAGATGCGAGATATTAGTAGCGTTGAGGTCTCGGATCGAGATATGTGTTGCGGACGAGTGGAGCAAGAGCTGGTGAGGGGGGAGTTCGACGTCTCTTTGGGAGGGATATACAATGCGTCTGGTACATTCTTGAAGGGCTGCCTCGAACTGAAGTGGGTAGAAGTACTGATTAGAGCTGTCTCGAACTAAGAAGGAGTCGGTGAGCTTACGAGGGGGATGATGTTTGCAGGCTCGGTGGTGAGCTTGTGGGCCAGCTCCTCATTGTATGAGATCATGTGAGCGATATCGATGTCGCAATAGTATTGCTTAACCAAGACATTTTGTCTCAATTGGTCACTGCGATGGCAAGTCAATATCAAGATGTGGCATACAAGGCGGCGGTGTCAACATACCGATAGATAAATGCGTTATCCAACTGAAATTCCAATACAAACTCCCTCAATTTCGCTTGGATCTGACTGCGAGAGTCATCGACACCATCGACGCTGGGAGCGAGGACGCTCAAAGTATAGGGGGTGCGTCTATCCATGGTGGTGACGGCAGTGACAAGAGGTGGGGTGGCAGTTGTGATGAGGTGTGTAGGTTTTCGGTGTATCCCGTTGCGAGGAGAAACTGCAAATATCTTTCCTGAGCAACGGCACACGAATAGAACGCGTCGCGTCGGGACCACGCGTTAAGTGCGTTGGCCTAAGGCAACAGCTAATTAAAGCGGCGGGACAACATAGCCCCGGGCTCCGACGCGGCTCGAATAGGTCTTTGTCATCCCTCATCCCCGGGGCCTGGCGCCTTACCCGATCGGGTTCAAGCTATCATGAACCCCCCCCGTATCAGATGGAGCTGGGTGACGTTGCAGCAAGAGTCAATTGCTTCCAATTCGCTTCAAGCTTGCCCTCTCTTGCCCTCCAATCCTGGTTTCCAGTGGTCAACACTGCTTGTTAGTGTACTGCTGGCGGTCTCTTTCTTGCTAAACCACAACTGTCAACTTGTCATGTTCATATAGTGTTCCCCTCCCACAGCACGGTGACCGCGGGACTTGTCAGTCGCCAAATTGGCATCAATATGTCCTCTGCCAGTCCCCGGAAGTCGATTGACAGCTTGGCCTCAGGCGCCTCCACTCCTTCTCTATCTCAGTTTTCATTCACACAGATCGAATCCCCTCGGGTCTCATCCCAAAGATACCCCTTAAGGAGGGGATCAACCGCAAGCTCGATCGCAAGTACTGGCGGAATTCTGGATCCCTCCAGCCGCCATGGGTCCATCGCTGAATCTGGACAGAATGGTACGACTCAGCTCACTTCACTTCGAACATTAAAGGTTAACCTGATCCCTCAACGGCAGCAATTTCTACTCTCCTGCAGCCTCCGATTGTCCGCACGGGTCTTGTGCCTCACACCGCTGTTGGCACCGCCGGATACAAACCACCTACGACTCGTGACATTCCTCCAGTTACCTTGACCAATATCCCGCACGTTGACTCTAAAGCGTTCGAGTCATATCTTTCTCAAGTTGGCTCGTTGTATGATGCCTTTCAGCAAGCCAAAGAGAGCAATACCGAGCAGGAATCGCAATTAGTGCGGGGAGGGGGCAAGGCCTCACCGAAGCCGGAAGACTCGGATTCTTTAACTCCTGGATCGCGGGAACGCCGACCGTCAACTCTGTCGACTCACTCTCGAGCGACCTCTCCATATGATACGCGAGGCAGGAGGCGGTCATACGCCGGGCGTGGCCGGGGTCAAGCCGTTACTCCCTTGTCCACAATTCCCACAGTATACTTCGAGGATGACTTCCGTCTCGAGAATCCGCGAACGTTTGATGTGGTGTCGGAGAAATCTGGAATCATAACTTCCAAAGATAAATCTGAGAATGGAGCCGCCGTGGAGTCCGCTGCCACGGGGAGGAAGGCTCTCGCTACGAATGCCATATTACAAGAAAAGCTTTCATGGTACATGGACACTGTGGAAATTCACCTGATTTCGTCCATCTCCACCGCTTCTAAATCCTTCTTTACCGCACTCGGGTCTTTGCGAGAGCTCCATGCAGAAGCCGCCGACTCGGTGAAACGTATCCAAGTTCTGCGGAAGGACCTACAGAAGATTGACCGTGAAATGGCTTTGGGAGGTCTGAAGATTGTGAATCTGCGGCGACGGAGGGAAAATGTGCGTATGTTGGCAGATGCCGTGGCACAGCTCCGCGATGTGGTCGAGTCAGTTTCTCGATGTGAAGCGCTCGTCGAGAATGGTAACATTGAGGAGGCTGCCGATGGCCTTGAGGAGGTGGAGAGATTGATGGCAGGGGAACAGGCTACAGGTCCTTTGACTGCAAACAAAGAACAGCAACAGTCGAGAAGGACGATCGACTTACGGCGACTGAAAGCGCTCGAAGGTGCGTCCGAGGACTTGGATCAACTGAGATCTCGAATCGGTAGCGGCTACGAGAGCCGCTTCCTAAGTGACCTTCTCGGCGACCTGAGACAGCACGTTGAGAATGTACCATTAGATACTACGCTACAGAGATGGGGATTCTCTTTCCAGCGACAGCGTGGCGCACGCTCCGGCGCTGCGCAATCTCCTGCCTATATGAACTTTGATGAGCAACTGCGGTCGAAACTGCGCATGCATCTCACCGGTCTGGCTCGTGTACGCCACACAACACCTGCGGCGACTTCCTTCAAGACAGCAGTACTGCGCGAGATGAAGAGTCTTATCCGCAAGCATATGCCCAGCTCCAGTGACGACGACAGTGAATCAGTGGTGTCTGTGTCCACGCACAAATCCCAACAACTTAGTCAACAAGAAAAGTCGTCGATCCTTGCGCGCAATCTCCGCGCCTTGGACGCTCAGGACTCGTATGAAATGCTAGCCAGGGTGTATACTGGGATTAGTGAGTCTTTGAGAAGACTGAGTGTTCAAGTCAAGGTTCTTCTGGATATCGCCAGTGGATTGGGAAACCCTGTCTCGTTGGGTCTGCGCTCCGGTCCCCCAAGCCCAAACCCTCAAGGTCCGACTACTCCGGCCTTGGAAGCAGAGAGAACGGCAGCCCTCATCGCGCAAGACGAGATTCTACAGGTTCTGGACATGTCCAGTCTTCTTGGCCAAGCGGTTGACATTGCTCAGTCTCAAGTGGTTAAGGTCCTGAAAGTTCGCTCGGAACAGACATCTCAGTTGCCGATGGAAGACTTTCTCAAGTACTTTACACTGAACCGACTCTTTGCGGACGAATGTGAGGCTATCTCCGGTAGAGGCGGCGCCGCATTGAAAACGGTTGTGGGAAATCAGATTCGGGATTACATCAACCGGTTTGGTGACAGCCAACGGCGCCGCATTGTCGAAGTTATGGATTCTGACAAATGGGACGCACGGGACTTCGGAGAGGACGAGAACGCTATCCTGGACCGGATACTTAGCGCAAGTACGCGAGACATTGAGCTCTGGACCGATGCATCCAAGATCTGGCTGTCCTCGAACGGACGCCAGGAGCCGAAACCTACGGCTCCAGCCACAGCCAATGGTACAGGTAAGGAGAAGCTGCGGAGTGCGGTGATTGACGAGCAGAAGTACATCCTTACCGAATCCGGTGTCGCGATGATGAAGAGCATCGAAGAGTTCCAGTTCCTCATGGCGAATATCCCCAGCATGATGCAGGACATTGCGCCCGGGCTTCTGGAGTCATTGAAGCTGTTCAACTCCCGGTCTTCGCAGCTGATCTTGGGTGCTGGCGCCACGAGAAGCGCGGGCCTAAAGAACATCACCACGAAACACCTAGCTCTATCCTCGCAGGCGCTCAGCTTTATCATTGCGCTGGTTCCCTATGTCCGCGAGTTTGTCCGCCGACACGCGCCCTCGATTCCGCTGCTGGGCGAGTTCGACAAAGTGAAGCGGCTGTACCAAGAACACCAGAACGGTATCCATGAGAAACTGGTTGACATCATGGGGTCCCGATCTGCCATCCACGTGAATGCCATGAAAAGGATCGACTGGGATGCTTCTGCTGGATCCACCACTGTGAGTCCGTACATGGAGACACTGGCCAAGGAAACGGGCACCTTGCATCGGGTGCTGAGCAAGCACCTTCCTGACATGACCGTCATGATGATCATGGATCCTGTGTTCAAGAGTTACCGCGAGCAGTGGACGAAAGCCTTTGACGAGGTCAAGGTGACTTCGGAGGCGGCCAAGCAACGGTAAGTTATGACCTCCGCCCCTAGAGTACGGACGCAACTAACACAGACTTGTAGGTTGCAACGTGATGCGGAGCACTTCCAAAGCAAGCTGAGCAAGATCGACGGCTTTGGCGACCTGGGACAGCGACTCTTGGAGCTGGTGCAACAGAAAAGCCTTGTCACGGAGCCACGCGAGTCCAGCCCGGTCGACGGGAGTTCATCCAAGGGGTCGTCCGAGACCACTGACACTGGCCGCAGCCAGAAATAGCTATCTGGCTAGTGTGTACATTTGTCTTGTGTCAATCACCTGGCCTAGATCCCATTGCTCGGTGTACGGAGGCGGGAGGCTGTCTGACCTCATTAACCGTTCGTGCAGCGTACATAGAGTGCAGTCAGGAGACATACTTTCGCTTACTCGGGCAGCAGCTCGAGTGAGCCATTTCTTCTATATAGATACTTAATTGATGCATTTACATATCTTCTCATAACCTCTAGAACCACCCCTATCCAGGCCCCATGAATTCCACACTTAGAGCATAACTCGGTCAAATGCATCATCCCCTCAAAATACTTGAATCTATTCGCAATACTCAACTCCAACACCAAACCACAACATCCCGACCCAGATGCCGGGACAATAGCCTAATCTACAGGTACTTTATATATCAGCAACACTAATTAGTAGTCCTCTCCTAGCTGAGGTAAGTGTACAAGTACTACGCAACAACCCTCACCCCACCACATCAACCCAGAACAATAGAAGAGAAAACCCAATGAACAGCAAAGTCCATTAATCTAAGCCCCTAACCAGTAGGCACCGTCGTCGTAGCCAGACGATCAATCAATCAATCAATCAATCAATCATCACCACATCATAAAAAGAAGTATATCATACAAAATCGAGGATATCACATATCCCCATTGCAACCGCATCAAGCGTAAGTTATTTGAAAAACCATCCCCCGAACTCCAATCCACCCCATGTATATGACCTTTTCTCTCAAGGCCATACAATGGAGGATTTCAGAATGCAAATCATAAACGGTTCTGCGCCTACTGGCCGGGGAGGGCACCGAGACCCTTCTTGTCGCCGACGGTCTTGGGCTCGTGGCCGCCCTTGCCGCTGCCGAACTTGTTGGGGCCGGAGCTGCCCTGGGCGCTGAGGAAGCCGCTGGCCTGGCCGGATTCTTCGGGGAGGGGGGCGGTGCGCTGGGCGCGGTTGAGGGTGTCGTTCTTTGGGGGTTTTTAGTCGTGGTTCCTTTCGAAGTTGTATCAAGAAGGGGAAGGGGAGCATACGTCAGGGTTGGTGCCGTGGACCTTGGTCTGGCCGGCCTCAATGGCGTTGTCGCTGCGGGGGACACCGTCGTCGTATTCAGCTCCGCGAGGCATTCTGTGTGTGGTTTTTGGGGTGGTAGGAAGAAAGGTAGAGTGGTGGTTTGGGTTGGTTTGGTTTGGCTGCTGGGTTGATGTGAGCTTATTGCTGCGCGTTACTCTGGAAAGTCGTGGATGACTTACTGTAGTCTGAGAGTTTGGTAGTCGTTGTCTTGTGATTATGATAATGGCAGTCAAGCTGGAAAGCAAGGGATCTTATATGCTGAGTCTGGCGGTGATGTGTTCATTGATTCTGGGATGAGCACCGTCGAGTGCTGACAGCATCATGAAGTCATGCTCCCCACCCAATGACTTCATGGGCTCCGGTCTGAGATCAGGTACAGTCGGTCTCACTCTTCCATTCTCTTCGCTGCGTGTGAGACATGGTAGTGATCGGCGAGGAGGTCAGAGATGCCGATACTATGTACATCGGATTTTATTGCGCAATCAACTGAGGGTGGACTATCTGCGTGACTGATGTGGTTGTAGGCTGGCTGGCGAGCGGAAAGTGTGAGTCCCAGTACGGGATCCGGAATTGGGAGGCGAGAGTCCGAGGGTCGGGTTTCCTGCAGGTGGAAGGGAAACAAAAAAGGGTCGGGTTACACTGAAGGGATCCTTTGAGAGACCTTCGATTTGATCTAGATCTCAATGATCTTGAATCTGAGTATCCTCATGTTAAGGTTCGCACACCGATAATTCATGAAAAGATGGGAAGTAATGTTACCGCTGGTTTGGCTGTCCAGACTCAAGGCCCAGACCCCACGCTGGCCAGTTGGCGCCCGTGCCGTTTTGTGGTTGAGATTCAAACTCCAGGACTACATGTAGTATCACCCTCATACCTTCTCTGTGTCTCTTTGTTCCAGCTATTTCTCCCCAATCCCTTCCATGTTTGCGACACAAACATGTATGAAGCTCTTATGTTGGATTGCCCTTACACAACCACAGTCCCCGAGCTTCACATACCTCCCACCCTATGATATATAACCTACGACACTACAACCATTCGTTCCAGCTAATAACCCATGAGAACACAAGCCACAATCCTAATCCAAACCCAGCAGCCTAAGCACCCCCTTTCCCCTCTGTGTACTCTCACCCACTCCCATCCAGACACAACCCTCCGACCAATTCACATCCCCGACCAGGCCGCTCCCTCACAACCTATCCAACCTACCGTAGACCCAACTCCGGGGCTCCACTTCCCGCGCACCCTCGGCTTCAAAGCCAAAGCAACCCAGTCTGCGGTCTGCGGTAGGATCGCAACGGCAAGCGGTCGACCGGCTCCGACCCCGGTCTTCATACTTCCAATTCCTTCCCCCGCTCACGCAACCGTCTTGAGTCGGGATGAACCGGGGCGAGGTACACGGAGTCCGTAGGTAGAAGTGGTCAGGTTTCCCGAGTAACAGGCGACAGACGACGGGTGCCAAGTGGGTGGGTGATGGCCTTGGTTACGTTGATCGTGGACAGTACGGTACGGAGAGCGCTTTACCGATACCGCAAACGGCTTGGGCGGCGCGGCGGGGGAGCGAGCGATCGGGATTGTGAGCCGTGGGGGTTGCGCGCGCACCGGGGAACAACGGTTTCGGTCTCGGTCGGATGGGCGTTTGCGTTCTGCGAGGAGGATGGAGGACGAGTCGATGGTGGGGGACGGGCAAAGGCCAAGGTCAAGGTCAAGGCCGGGGGCTGGGTGGTGGTGGTGGTGGTGGTGGTGGTGTAGTTGTTGTTTGTCAACGCTTGGAGGAGGGGTGAGGATGGTCTGGATTGTTGATGGATTGGGGGGGGGGGGGGCATTGCGGAGTAGCTCGTGCGGCGGAGGCGGGCCGGTCGCAGCGTTGGCCAGACCAACTACTCGTACTATGAGTAAAAGGATGAGGTCTATCCGTCTCGACAAGAGGTAAGAATTAGCGGGCATAGTTACTATTTTGGCTTTGTTTTGTTCGGGGGTGTGCGGAGAAAGAGGGGTCATTTCGATGATCAGGATCGTGGGCAAATAGAGGCATTCGGGGACCGTGAATGCGATGGAGCTGGGCTGGGGCCCCCAGAGATCCAGCTGACAAGCCATATTGGCACTATAAAGGATCTGGTTAGATTGACTCTAGCAGAAAAGCTCAAAAAAGCTAAGAAGGTCGAGGCGGACGAGCTGAAGGTGCTCTTTAGAGGAATCTTCCAGATCGAGGAAATGGTGAGGGGCATCAGTGCAGCGAGGATAACGCGGCCGCGGAGATGGTCTATGATTTGGACGTGCTTGCTGCTCCGGAACTGGCTGAGGCCCTACGTGTAACGAGCTGAGATCTTTACTTAATACGAATCTGGTAATTGCATCCAATTCAAAGTGGACCTTAAACTCCAGTATGCAAGGGTATCTGACGACGTGACAAGAACCAAATCCAAGCTAATGCATTCCACCGACTCAAACCACGCCGGGGCCTAGCTTGGATTTAAAACACCCAACACCGCCCTAATTTAATCAGACCTGTCAGGCAGACAGCCTAGCGCCTGGGGCACTCGGTTGCGGCTGATCTGGACCCTCAGGCCGTTGAAGATGATATGGTAGAATAGATCGACCTCCTCGTTGTTCAAGTCGAACGACAAAGTGCTCTCTTGTGACTCGGATAATATACTCGTGGCTCTGGTATCCACACTCGACAAGCGACTCTCTGGACGAGTGCTTCGCGTGGAGGCCAGGGAGTGGGTATAAGAGCTCGATCGCATTGTAGATGAGAGGAACGGTCGTAGCGAGCGGATACTATCCGCCGGTTCGGACTCCGGGTCAGGGTTGACGACAACGAGCCTTTGTGGGGGTACGTGCATATAGCCGCCTTCGACGAGGGCAGAGATGCCGTTATAGTTTATGGCTTGCGAGTCGGGCGATATACGGTTGTTAAATTGTTTGATGTCCGGTTGAGAGGTAGGAGGATCGCTTGATTTCTGAAAGGACTTCCAGAGTCCCTGTAGGACTCTCCACGGTGCTCGACAATTTGATTTCGACAAAAGCCCCCGAAAGTGGCTCTGAATTTGCTTCATAGGCATGGCTTAATCTTGATCGATGGCAAAGTGGGTATTGGGTATGGGTGGAGGTTGGTATGGAGGACGAAGACCCGGCGCTGGTGGCAAGCGGGGGCGGGGATGAGGGGAAGAGGGTGGTGGGCTCTGACTGCGAGGCTGATTTGCGACTCGAGTCACTATCATACCAAAGATCAGGTGTGTGTGGGAATTGGGGAGTAACGGCGATCCACTGAGGTAGAAACATTGAGAATCTCAAGTCACTCATGGCACAGCGCCTACCGCGCAATTCACTTGATGATCCGATGGAGATGCCGCGCAGGACAGTTCCAGTCGATCCAGCTGAGGAGCAGCCCTGGCATTGTTAAATGTCTTGCTACTGAAGATCCAAGACAGAGCGGTAAGAGCGAGTTTCGGGGGTGTGTGAGTTGGAAGTAAATCATGGCGAACTCAATTGCGCGAACTGGTGACCACGAATGCTATTGTTTGTCGCTCGGAAGAAAAAGGTACCAGAGAGGAGAAGCACAGTTGTGAATGGCGCATGAGTGCCGTCAGCATGGAAGATTTGCAGCACGAGGGGTGGCTGCTCTGCATCAGATTAAAAACAACAAGACGGCACGATTGGCAAGCGAGGACCGTGAGGCGGTGGGCGGTGGGCGGTGACGTCAGGGGCACGAAGCAGCTTTCCCCAGATTTGCCCAGATTTACCCAGTTTTTTACCTAATCCGGCAGCCGGAGCCAAGCGGAGACAAACTTTGGTTTTGAGGTACGGTACAATTCATACGCTGTTGAGAGAGGGGAACCGAAATCAAACCAAAAAAAGAAAAAAAAGGAACGACACCGTTACAATTGCGAATGGGGACATTCATTGGGATTGGGGGATTTTCCCTGATACGAGATCTTCGCTTGCCTCCTCGTCCACCCCCTCCCTCGCTCGACCATGGAGGAAATCGATCGTTCCCTTGTGTGTGTCACGTAAAATGAGCAAATGAGACCACCCCCTGTTTCCCTATCCTTGTTCGGGAGGAGGCAACAAAACGTAAAACTCGCAGCAGCAGAGTAACGTAAGTGTGAGCTCCCACGGATCATGGATCATCATCTGGTCGGATGATTCTGCAATTGACGGGACCAACCGGGGGTTGTCATTAGCCGGGGTCCCTCTTCCAAGGACTCAAGGACTTCAGAGATTCTCCAGATGAGAGGCCGAGGCCAGAACTGGGGATGCGTCCGTGCAACGCCAACCTTTAGTTTAGTCCAGCTGTTAGCCCAACCTGCTCCCGGTGAGCTCGACAGAGACACAACACGAAGGATACAATTGAATGAAGGGTAGGAAATGAAGGGAAACGAAGCTAATTTCTGCCCTTTCCCTCCCTGTGCTGGGGGGTTTTTAAATTGTCCCTAGCAACAACGCAAATAAGGAGATGACAGGATTTCAGCTGGCAGGTTAGCGGTTGTGAACTCCGTATTGGACCTTGAACTCCGTCCTGTACGGTACTAGTCTACTATACCCAGCTAGCAGCAGCAGCAGCAGCAGCAGCAGCAGCAAGCAGCAATCCTGCCTGTTTCCCTCTTCCTCCCCCGCCACCCACCTTGTATTTCTCCCCGCACGTCACCATCACCTCCTCCTGGGGATTTTCTTTTCTTTCTCTTCTTCTTTTTTTTTCTTCTTTACCTCTTTACTCTTCTCTCTCTGCATTGCTACCCCTCCTCCTCCCCCCCACCCCCTCCCCAATCTACCACTAAGAGAGTGTTGACGTGAGTTCAAGTAGCTCATCGTCGGATTCTCTTTCTCTTCAGCTTATCGCTCGAGCTTCCTCCGCACCCGCTTTATTGCACCCACACAGCTCTTTCGGCGCACCATGGCGAGCGAAGACAACGGTCAAGATCCTCCCAAGCGAGATGTTCGCAACCACCTGCTCTTTGAGATCGCAACTGAGGTCGCCAATCGTGTGGGAGGTATCTACTCCGTCCTCAAGTCTAAAGCTCCCGTCACCACCGCCGAGTATGGTGAACGATACACCTTGATCGGACCGCTCAACCGAGCCTCCGCAGCTGTTGAGGTCGAGGAACTGACTCCTTCGAACCCTCGATTGATTGAAACAATCCAGTCCATGAAAGAGCGTGGCATTGAGATTGTCTATGGCCGCTGGCTGATTGAAGGTGCCCCTCGGGTGCTACTCATTGACACTTCAACCGGTTATAAGTACTTGGACGAGTGGAAGGGAGACCTGTGGAATACGGCCGGAATCCCCTCTCCCGCAGGTGATACCGAGACGAATGAGACCATTGTGTTTGGCTACTTGGTAGCATGGTTCCTGGGTGAAGTACGCGATAGAGAAATCTCCCGAGTATAGCGCAAAGTGCTAACCAGGTGTCCCAGTTCATCGCACACGAACGTCGCAAAGCAGTTGTGGCTCATTTCCACGAGTGGCTTGCTGGTGTTGCCCTTCCTCTGACGAAGCGGCGCCATATGGACCTAACCACGATCTTCACAACCCACGCCACATTGCTCGGTCGCTATCTCTGCGCAGGGTCAGTAGACTTCTACAACAACCTGCAGCACTTTGACGTCGATGCAGAGGCCGGTAAGCGCGGCATCTACCATCGATACTGTATCGAGCGGGCTGCAGCGCACACGGCCGATGTCTTCACGACCGTCTCTCACATCACTGCCTTTGAAAGCGAGCACCTGCTTAAGCGGAAGCCCGATGGTGTGCTACCGAACGGACTGAATGTGAAGAAGTTCTCAGCTGTCCATGAGTTCCAGAACCTGCACTCGCAATCGAAGGAGAAAATCAATGACTTCGTTCGTGGACATTTCTACGGCCACAACGACTTCGACCTCGACAACACTCTGTATGTCTTTACTGCCGGTCGCTATGAGTTCCGCAACAAAGGCGTGGATATGTTCATCGAAAGTCTGGCGCGTCTCAACCACCGCCTCAAGGCGGCCGGATCAAAGACAACAGTCGTCGCCTTCATCATCATGCCTGCTCAGACTTCGTCACTCACGGTGGAGTCGCTGAAGGGCCAAGCTGTCGTGAAGTCGCTTCGGGAGACCATCCATAACATCGAGCAGGGCATTGGCAAGCGCATGTATGAGCGCTCCTTGGCATGGAAAGAGGGCGACAACATGCCGGATGAGAAGGACTTGATTACCAGTCAGGACCGCGTCCTTTTGCGCCGTCGGCTTTTCGCCATGAAGCGCCACGGCCTGCCACCTATCGTTACCCACAATATGGTTAATGACCATGAAGACCCGATTCTAAACCAGATCCGTCGGGTGCAATTATTTAACCACTCGTCAGACCGAGTCAAGGTGGTCTTCCATCCTGAGTTCCTGAACTCTTCAAACCCAGTGCTCCCGCTTGACTATGATGACTTTGTGCGCGGAACCCACCTTGGAGTTTTCCCTTCTTATTACGAGCCGTGGGGATATACTCCTGCCGAATGTACGGTGATGGGAGTTCCTAGCATCACCACCAACCTTTCTGGTTTCGGGTGCTACATGGAGGAATTGATCGAGAACTCGTCCGACTACGGTATCTATATCGTGGACCGCCGCATGAAAGGGGTGGATGACTCTGTGAACCAGCTTACGGACTTTATGTTGAACTTCACTCAAAAAAGCCGGCGACAACGGATCAACCAGAGAAACCGGACCGAGAGATTGAGCGATCTTTTGGATTGGAAGCGGATGGGTCTGGAGTACGTCAAGGCCCGGCAGCTTGCTCTGCGTAGAGGTGTGTATTTTTCCTTGTACTTGTTCACTCACTATTGGATACTGATCAGCGTGTGCAGCTTACCCTTCGTCATTTGGAAACGGAGAGGATGTTTACGATATCATCGGAGGCACAGAGCAGAAGATCTCGCGTCCCCTCTCTGTTCCTGGGTCGCCAAGAGACCGGTCCGGCATGATGACCCCGGGAGATTTTGCCTCCCTCCAGGAGGTCAAGGAAGGCCTCAGCACGGAGGACTATGTTGCCTGGCGACTTCCGTAAGTTGAGCCCTGATACCCTTAGAGATGTAGTCGCTGACCCAGTTTCCATGCACAGGACCAGCGAGGAAGAAGAGCCAGATGACCACTACTTCCCTCTCACTCTCCGAACGAAGAAAGCCACCGATCGGCCTGCCTCCCCGCTCGACCGGCTTTCGTTGAATGGAGACGCATGATCGATTGTCTATACGATACCAACAGACACCCAAGTACTTACTTCCTTTATGTGGAACACATCATTCTGTAGTTGCTGCATTTTGTGCCCGTCCTTTGCCTTCGTCCCAGCATGCTTGCAGTTTTGACTATTGCCGACTCGTCTTGATTCGTAGGTCCTGAATACAGCGCATCGTTCCGGTTGCCGTGTGACATTATAGCCTGGCTGTTTCTGCGGTCTTGCTCCATTAGTTTGGTTCTTTTCACTCCCTTGTTTAATATTGATATGTTCCCTCTCCTTCGCCTGCCTTGAATGTACATCCTCTCTACTTAGTCACTTAACAGATTGGAGATTAGATACTTCGAATGCATTGAACCATTCGGTCCATAGCCAGTATCTTCCTGGAAGCACTTGACGGTAGACGTGAGGAGAGAAATGCGCAGGGATTGTAGTCCGAGACCGGAGGGATGTGAGTTCACAGTGGTGATTTCCCTCGAGACGCCAAGAAGTTGAGTCATTTAATGGATTGATGGACAGAGACAGAGAGAGTTGTGGTGCGGGTCTTCGGAGCGGGGAGCTGCGAGAGGATCAACACCAGCCAGGATCCTGGAGACATTGGGAGGTCCAGCCCAATTAGACTTTGGGATTATCGCTGATGAGCGGAGAATCTGCGCTTCGGTGAGAGGGTAGTGGTACGTTAGTGAGTGGCAGAGAAGTGAAAGTACAGTACGTACTGTACATGTGATGGTGGTGGGGGGTTCCACATCTCCCCCTCCCTCCCTCCCCTCCCTCCTACTTATACTTCCGTTCCCCTCTCTCTTCCCTCTCTCTTCCCTCTCTCTTCCTCTTCTCTTCTGTCTTTCATCCTTCTCATTCCAATCTTCGAAACCTCAATCCAGTCTCCGATTCCACCGTACACTATCGTCCGGTACGACTCACAATGAAGCTACGCAATCAGGATGACTTTCCGAGTCTTCTCGCTAGGGGTTCAGACGGATCAAGGTATCGTACTAGTATAATGGCAGTCACAGCTCGCGCATGACAGGTGTTCGACTCGAGTTTCTGTCCTCATCTCCGGATCGGTGGTGTATCTTCCTCTGGCTCTGCGGCTGTCTTGCCAATTTGCTGTCAAGGCACTTTGCAAGAGAGCCCAGCAGTGGAATACACGTCACCCTGACCCACGATGAGGGCAGACACTCGGTCGTTCTGAGATTATACTGTCATAACTTGATCTAGATAATACTAGCGAAAGGACATGCGTGGCATTGATTGTTCCATCCCCCTATACGCAAGATGGAAAGGGGAGCTCCGTCTCCCCATTGCTGACAATGTCCAGTACTTTGATCTTGACTTGAACTCTGTGCCAAGATGTCTACTGACAAGATCACCTTCCTGACCAACTGGTACGCATTGATAATTCTTACGGGTAGCCGTACATGTGGGATCCCTGCTAAAACTATTGTGTTTCAAGGCACGCGACCCCGTACCACGCCCCCCTTTACCTTGCGCAGAGCAAAGGCTTCTTCAAGGAAGAGGGCCTCAAGGTTGCTCTGCTCGAGCCCAATGATCCCTCCGATGTCACCGAGATTATCGGCAGTGGTAAGGTAGACATGGGCTTCAAGGCCATGATCCACACTCTGGCCGTATGTGCTCCCTGGGTCAACAGCTTGTGCTGGTTGCTAACCGTTGAGATCAGGCCAAAGCTCGCAACTTCCCTGTCACCTCGATCGGCTCTCTCCTCGATGAGCCGTTCACTGGAGTCATTTACCTCAAGGGGAGCGGGATCACCGAAGACTTCCGCTCTCTGAAGGGTAAGAGAATTGGTTATGTCGGCGAGTTTGGCAAGGTGCGTACAGGACAGGCCACCCCTCCCTTGCCCTACGCTGACCGGTAGTCATAGATCCAAATCGATGAGCTGACCAAGTACTACGGCATGACGGCGGATGACTACACCGCTGTGCGCTGCGGCATGAACGTGACCAAAGCAATCATCGAGGGCACAATCGACGCGGGGATTGGTCTCGAGAACGTGCAGATGGTCGAATTGGCCGACTGGCTGGCGAGCCAGAACCGACCGCGCACCGACGTGCAGATGCTGCGCATCGATCAGCTCGCGGAGCTCGGCTGTTGCTGCTTCTGCTCCATCTTGTACATCGCCAATGACGCCTTCCTGGCTGCCAACGGCGAGCGCGTTCGCAAGTTCATGAATGCTGTCAAGCGTGCCACCGAGTATGTCCTCGCTGAGCCCGCCCAGGCCTTCGAGGAGTACGTCGCCATGAAGCCCATCATGGGCACCCCGGTCAACCGGCAGATTTTCGAGCGGTCGTTCGCGTACTTCAGCCGCGACCTCAAGAACGTCCAGCGCGACTGGAACAAGGTCACCAACTACGGCAAGCGATTGGGAATCTTGGACGCGGACTTCCAGGCGAACTACACCAATGAGTTCCTGTCCTGGGATCTGGATGCCGATTCCACCGATCCGCTGGGCGATCAGAAGCGCATGGCTGAGTTGCAGAAGGAGGTGGCTGATCAGGGCGGTTTCCGCCGGCTGCAGGTGGCCTCTGCTTGAGTTCGTCGTCTGGCGGAACGGGGAAATTATTGCCTGTGAGCACCGAATCTCACTGCCATTGACATCATGAGGCTAGCGGTCTCAGCTAGCTATGCACTCGTTACGAAATGAATAACTATCGAGCATTGCCTCTTTTCCACACTTCGCAGGAGAAGTGTAGTCGGTCACCTAATTCACGTAGTGATTGTGCAACCATCATACCATATACGTACTATGCTCTATTGAACCTAATAGAAAGCCGCTCAAACATTGCTTGCCAAGTCCAAACGGCAACCCGATAAATCACACCAGCTTCGTGGGTATCAATTCCTGCTTCGATATTCTTCACCCTCTCTGTCCGATAGAGGGCCTACCCGGTGCTGTCCCAACAAAGACGAGAGTTCCACCCCCTCCCCACCTTCAACATCGCTCAAACGTCCCTCGTCCTCCGCGTCCCAGCGTTTCGAACGCCGGAAACCTCCGCGCTTCCGATCATCCACACGACGGAGCGCAGTCCTCCGGAACAGAACTCCGAACCGGCGTAAGAGGCAGACCCCGACAACGAGCACCAGCGCACAACCCAAGAGCCCAGCCACAGCTACCCTCTCCCTAGTGCCAAACCGCCCCAGACCATAGTCATCACCTTCCTCAGTCCCAGAGACCACAACCGCCTCCTCAGCCGCAGGATCCCAGCGCGCCAGCTTGGACGCGCTCAGCACATGGCCCGAGGCATTCAGCGCCAGCACGCGGAGATACCTGTATTCCCTTGCATCCTCCGGAATAGGGATGACAGTTTCAAACCCCACCTTCGGCACGGTCGTGACTCTCGCCAAGGCCGCGGCACTCCCACCCTCTCCCCCTGATTCCAGATTCCCCTGCTGCTGCTGCTGCTGCTGCTGCTGCTGCCCAGCAGAAGCATCATCCGTCCCCTCCAGCCCCCAGGCTACCACCTCCGTAGCCCCATTCCAACTCGCTGCGGCCCGATACCTATACACCTCAAAATCCGGACGGGAGCGCGGGGCCCCGCGCCAGGGGTGCTTGAAGACGCGGTAGGAGAGGATATTGCCCAGCCCAAACTCGCGCTGCGGGCCGAAGTGCACCTGGCAGAGGGGCTCGCCCTCGCGGGAGAACTCGGTCCACGCCGCGTTCCACCCGTAGCCGACCAGCACGTTGCCGTTGGCCAGGAGCTGCAGGCTGCCCTGGCTCTGGCTGCTGAGGGCTTGGTCCGGGGTGTTCCAGTACTCGTGGCGGAGGCGGACAGTGAGGTCGGTCTGGTTGACGTCCAGGTACAGGCCGCGGGAGGTGCGGGCGGGGGCGCCGACGCCGCGGGAGGCGTTGTCGAAGAGCGTGATGGCGGTGTCGTTGTCGCGGAAGCGGGCGTGGTGTTGCCAGGTGAAGTTCGTGGCGGGGCCTGACTCTGCTGACTCTGCTATCGGTGATGCAGCAGCAGCAGCAGCAGGCAAAGAGACATCGGTAAAGTTATTCCTCTTTCCGCCCAGCCGCCAGAGGATCTCGCCGGTGCGCCCGTCGACGTAGCTCAGACAGTTGGTATACCGCGCCGAAACCAAGTAATTGCCGCGGCGGTCCTTGTCGACGCTGTTGATGTGGAAGAAATCCCAGGGCTCGGCCGCGGAGACGCCCTGCCCGGCCTCGCGGCCGCGCACGACGTCCTCGAAGGCGAAATGCTCCGAGGCGCGCCACTCGAACAGCAGCCGGCCCGTCGCGATGTCCAGCTCCTGGAACGTCCCCTCCCAGATCCAGCCGTCCACGGGGCCTGCCTGCCCGGTCTCATCGGGCACCCGCGAGAGGTCGGCGCGCCGCCGGTCGTAGCTGGTCAGGAGGGCCGTGTCGTCGCGCGTGATGTGGAACTCGTGCAGGTCGCCGGGGCGATTCCGCGCCGCCGGGAAGGTATACGCTTCTTGATACGAGGAGTCTAGCTTTATTGCTGGCAAGAATTGCCATGCGCGGAGATATTTAGATATTCGTCTCACGTCTTGGTCCTCCCCCGGAAGAATCACTCAAATCTATCTAAGAGACAAGGTAGGCGAGACAAGGGAAGGCAGCCAAAGTATACATACCATGAAATACGTGCCCCGCCCATGCCCAACATCGGCATCGCTTCCTACCCAGAAGGTCAGATAGTCCTGGCCCCGGTACCGCTGTACGTCCACGTTGTACGTCTGCCCGTACGCCCTCGTCCAGACGAGGTGGCCGCCGTGGTCGAGGATCATGGGCCCCGGCCGGTGGACGCTGGCGCCCCGCGGCGCGAGCAGGTAATATTCTCCGGCATCCTGGCACCGCGGGCTCGTCTGCACCCAGTTCACGGCCAGCCCGATCGCCGTGGTCGATCGGTACAGCTCCGTGGGCCAGGAGCCCATGCGGCCTTGGTCGTAGAGTTGCGATTGGTTGTAGGGGCCTTCATCTGCGAGGATGCATGGTAGAAATAGGAGGGGGGTTAGGATGAGGGAGAAGAAGAGGCCCGGCGTCAATGTTAACGTCATCGTCATCGCTAGGACGGACAGCTACACATTGAGTTGCGGGGCGGGTGGTGTAGTATGTTAGAGTATGCGTAGTCGCATTTCCAGACGGTTTTGGAGTCAGAAGTCAGAATAGGTGCTCAAAAAGTCGGAGTGCGAACTCGAGGCGGATCTGGATCTTCATAAAGAACTGGCGGAAGATCCACATTGTGGCCGCCGGTGGTTGAAAATCTGTTGGCTGCCATCCGTGCCCCGAGGATAGGGGGGGCAAGGGCCCACTTGGTTTGGAGTGATAGCGATATGTATCATACTCATCGTGTAAAAAGGTGTCAACAGCATGGGTGAAGGATGCATGATGGTGTGGTCCACGCGTGGGAAATGAGTGGTTGCCGTTGGGCAATGCGTCTCTCCACGGGATGTGTGACTGGTCGTTGGCTTTTCTGGTTGAGGTGATGACGAATCCCTATCGAGAATAATAATCCCACTCTCCTCACGTGAGGCTGTTGCTCATGAGATGCGTTCTATTTTGAATCGGTGTCGGGAGACGGGTCTGGCCAAGCCAGTGTACGAGTTGACACTGGGTTTGGTTTGTTCTGTTCCGCTGGCATGTCCTCCATTGCTATAGATCCGAGCGTCTGTACTCGGCAGAAACCAAGCAGACTACAAACAATCATCCGGGTAAATCACAATGTATGCTGTATTTTCTCTGGTAGTTCAGCTAATCTATCTCAGATGGGGTATGTATGCACTAATTAAAAGATAGACAGAAGAAGTGTCGCCATGATGAAAGGGGGTATCGTTCGTCCGACCGTTTACTTGCTACGCTTGTAGATCTTGGACAGGAAGGCCTCGAAGACCTCCTTCTTCAAGCCCTCGGCCTCGTTGATGCTGTCGATCTTGCCGCGGAGCTCGCCCACCACCTTCTCCTCGTACTCCAGGTAGACCTTCTCCAGGTCGAGCTCCTTGTACAGCGCCTTGACCTTGGCCTCCTGCTCGCTGTCCTTGCGACCGTACGCGGCGTCGAGCACCTTGCGCTGCTCCGCGGTGCACCGCTGGATGGCCTGGTTCACCAGCCAGGAGCACTTGTTGTCCTGGATGTCGGTGCCGATCTTGCCAATGACGGCCGGGTCGCCGTAGGCGTCGAGGTAGTCGTCCTGGACCTGGAAGTACTGCCCCAGAGGGATCAGGATGTCGTGGGCCTGGCGGAGGTTCTCGGGGGTCGCCAGCTGGAGGTAGTGCAGGGCCAGCGCCACGGGGAGGTAGAAGCTGTAGTAGGCGGTCTTGTAGGTGACGATGAACATGTACTTCTCCATGGAGAAGTTGTCCAGGTTGACATTGTCCTCAGGGGCGGTGATCAGATCGCACAGCTGGCCCAGCTCGGTCTGGTAGGTGATCTCGTGGAACAGCTCGACGAGGTCAATGTAGGCGGGGTGGGAGCGGAAGTATTTCTTCAGGATGATGTAGATGCCGGACTCGAGCAGGAAGGCGTCGTTGATCGCGATCAGGCCGACCCCGTCGTGGCGGTACCAGCAGGGCTGGCCACGGCGGGTGATGGAGCTGTCCATGATGTCGTCGCTGACCAGAAAGAAAGCCTGGAGCAGCTCCGTGAGCCAGCCGAGCATGCTCAGGTGCTTGAACTGCTCCTCGCTCAGGGGCTGCTTCAGGAGCGCCAGAGCGGTGTCGGGGACGGAAAGACCGCGATTGAGTTTTCCCCCAGGAACATTGACGTTGAGGTTCTATGCGCGAAGCAGCGACAGGATTGAGTGAGTCTCCTGCAATCCATTACGAGATGAGGGAGATTTTCGGCCGGACGACATACCTTCTCAAACCATTCCAGCGCATTCTGGGGCAGGTTGTACTGCTTCGCCGAGTTCAGGAGATCTTCGCGAATTGTGGGGAAGATAGCCTCGAAGGAGGCACGGCTGGTGGTGGAAGGCATTGTGCGAAAGTATCACTGTGAACAGCGAGCGAGGAGGGAAGGGGAGAGAAGAAGAAAGTCAACAACGATAGTTGAACAGTGGGGGGGGGAGGAGGGGAGAGAGAGGGGGGAGGGGGAAGGGAAATCGACAAAGCGGTAGCCAGCCAGCCAGCCAGCCAAGAAAGATCATTGCCCCATACAATTATGGATTATGGATAAATTATTGTTTTTCGACGCCCCGCTGTTTGCCGTGTTTGTTACTGCTTGCTCAAACAGGAAATCCAGTTACTGCCGGGCCCCATTCCAGTCCAGCTCCTGCTGCATACATTTATGGGGTGCGAAAGCATTGCGAGGTGTGTGTTTTTGGTTGCTCTTCGTCGCGATATTACCGACTCCGAGCCTCATTTCTCACGGATTCTCACTGTCGCCCGGTCAGTTTGCACGCGTGACAATCGCTCCCCGTACCCTTGACCGCGGGTTGGTCAAGCTCTCCGAAGCTCAATCAAAACAGCCTTGTGCAATGGCCCTTGCGCATTACTAGATTCAGAAACCCTTTGCCCATCTACTTCCCGGAACGCGCAACACATCGATCACTCCAACTGCGTTCGCGCGCAGGATCCTGACCGCCAGATGGCTGCTCAATTCACAGAGGAGAACATCAAGGAGCTGAAGTTCCGACTCGAGGATGCGGCGAGCAAGTGCTCCGAACGATGCCTCTACCAATCAGCAAAATGGTACCGTCGCCAACTGCATCCTCGTCAGCCCACGCGATTTAGGAAAGCTAACAGGAATGTCAGGGCTGCGGAGATGCTCGATTCCCTCGTCCCAATCGACCAGTATGAAACGGATCCCGATTCACCGATGGACCAGCCCGATGCTCCTCCGAAGGCCCAGAACCCCTACCTCCGGACCCAGGATTCCATAGAAGCGGCGCTCGAGGCGCAAGAGTCTTACAAATATCTCCTGGCGAAGTCATACTTTGACACCCGCGAATACGACCGCTGTGCCGCCGTCTTCTTACCTCCGACTATATCCCCCATCCCTCTCGCGACTGCGTCGCCCAACGCGAAACATCGACAGTCGTTGACTCCGCAGAAGGGCAAATCGAAGGCGTCGCCGTTCGCAGGGGTGAAGGACCATGGTGCAACCAGGAATCCCTACCCTCGGCTCAGCCAGAAATCCCTGTTCCTCGCCTTGTATGCGAAGTACCTGGCCGGCGAGAAGCGCAAGGATGAGGAGACGGAGATGGTACTGGGTCCTGCGGATGGAGGCTCCACAGTCAACCGGGAGTTGCCAGATCTGGCTCGAGGGCTAGAAGGATGGTTTACTGAGCGACGGGAGAAGGGGCTAGAAGGTCGGAACCAGGGTTGGTTGGAATACCTTTACGGTGTCATACTCCTCAAGGGGCGGAATGAGGATGAGGCCAAAAAGTGGTTGATCCGGAGCGTGCACTTGAACCCCTTTCACTGGGGCTCGTGGCAAGAATTGAACGACTTGCTGGCCAGCACGGAAGACGTACGCATACCCCACCAGCTACATCAGACATATTGATTGCTAACCACCGTGTGGGCAGTTGAAACAAGTTGTCGACCTTCTCCCACAAAACATCATGACTCTCATATTCCACGTATACTGCAGCCAAGAGCTATACCAGGCCACAGATGATACGTACCAGGCTCTGTCCGAGCTGGAGACGATCTTCCCAACGAGCGCATTCCTCAAGACCCAAAGAGCACTCCTCTACTACCACTCGAAAGGTGAGATTGCTTCGCGCGGGAGGCTTCCCTAAAAACTAACCGATATCCACAGACTTCGAAGCAGCATCGCACATCTTCACCGACATACTCATCACCTCACCCCACCGCCTCGACAGCCTTGACCATTACTCCAACATCCTCTATGTCATGGGCGAGCGCCCGCAGCTCGCCTTCGTCGCCCAAGTCGCGACCGCGACCGACAAATTCCGTCCCGAGACGTGCTGCGTCGTCGGAAACTACTACTCGCTCAAATCCGAGCACGAAAAAGCAGTCATGTACTTCCGCCGCGCGCTGACCCTCGACCGGAATTTCCTCTCCGCCTGGACCCTCATGGGCCACGAGTACATCGAGATGAAGAACACGCACGCCGCGATCGAGTCCTACCGGCGGGCCGTCGACGTGAACCGCAAAGACTACCGCGCCTGGTACGGGTTGGGCCAAGCCTACGAAGTTCTCGACATGTCCTTCTACGCGCTGTTCTACTACCAACGCGCCGCCGCCCTGCGGCCCTACGACCCGAAGATGTGGCAGGCTGTGGGATCGTGCTACGCCAAGATGGGCCGCATCGAGCAGAGCATCAAGGCCCTGAAACGCGCCCTCGTGGCCGGCTCATACTACGCCGAGGACTCTTCTTCCCAGGTCGGCAGCGGGCCTGCCCGCAAGATCCTCGATCCGGAGACGTTGCATCAGATTGCCACGCTCTACGAGCGCCTGGGCGACGAGGAGGAAGCCGCCGCGTACATGGAGCTCACCCTGCAACAGGAGTCCGGGCAGGTCGTCCAAGAGGAGGAGGAGGAGGCCTCGTCCGACGACGATCAATCCGGCACGGATGTCCCATCCAGCTCGCGACGCACGCGCAAGTCGTCGAGGGACGAAGAGGAGGAGGATACCTGGCACGGCACGGGGGTCACCGCGACGACGTCCAAGGCGCGGCTGTGGCTCGCGCGGTGGGCGCTCCGCGGCGGGGATCTGGATCGCGCGGATCAGCTGGCCGGGGAATTGTGCCAGGATGGGGTGGAGGTGGAAGAGGCCAAGGCGTTGATGAGAGACGTTCGCGCCAGAAGGGAGGGTGGTTGATGCATACAAGATGAGGCGTCTCATACCCCTTCGAATTAGCCAGGCGTTTTTGTGGAAATAGTAGGTTGTATTGTATCTCTATCTATATCTGTATACGAACTAGACAAGCCAGTACCTTGGTCACTCGATTGATCGTTGTAGCTTGTATGACATCTCAATTTGACGCAACGGTCTAGTGCCTTATGTCAATCTCATTTGACATCTCCATGCCAATCTATACGAAACAGCCAGACAGCGCAACAACATACATGCTGGCCTTAATTGAAGAAAGGGCGGTGCAGGACGGCTGAGGGAAAACAGAGTTCGCCTTCGTCAACACGCACCACCGAGTGGGGTCACTGCGAACAGCCCGCTCAGCGGAAGCAGCTCCCGTCTATTGAAGCTGATCGTAGCCTTGACATCGACGTCTCTACGTATCCCTCGCCCACGCCCCTCCGCTGCTCTTCGATGGCAGTACGTCGGGCTTGTATCAAGACCGGAATGCAAAGTACGCTCCCTAGTCCCGCCAAGATCCCACTTCACGCACGCATAGAAGTACCGTCTCCCGATCGACTCCCAGGCGTGACGGAGGCCGAGCCTGGCGTCGTCGGGGCTGATGTCGAGGTTCAGGAAGCTTCGGTCGAGGACAAAGATTTTGCCCGTTAGAGGGTGGGTCGTGCTTCTGGTTTGCAGGGCGCGGGTGATGCGTTTGCTGAGTTCGAAGAGGAGGTGTCCGAGGGTGGATTCGCTGCCGGTCAAAATGACGATTCCAAGGCGTGGGGATGGTGTTGTCGTCTTTGGCGTGTGTGTCAGCAGGATATCCAGGAACTCGGCAAGGGTTTGGGTGTGGTGCTCCGCGTTGGAGGGTGGATGGGGTTGCTGGGGGGTTGTGTGGTTGCTGGACGTTGGTGTGATATATATGGGGATGTTCAGGAGTAGGGATGCGAGAGGTTGACTTGATTTGGGAGGACGGTTATCACCTGTTTCGGGGTAGCTAGATATCTGCGGTGGTGCAGGTGAGCTGTTGCATTGTCCGGTGCTAAGGAACTCAGTATCGGCCTGGCTTGTAACTAGGCCAGGCTGTCGAGGCTGAGGAAACGGCTTGTCTCCGTGTTCAGAACTGGGATTGCGATTTGCATATTCTCGCTGGCGGGAGGTATGAGTCGACAGGTTGTCATTTTTGGTCAAAGGATTCTGTCGAGCAGGATTATCTGCAGCTGACTGAGCTGGATCCACAGATCCTTCTCTGTATATAGGTATGGTACGGTTGTTTGGACAAATCGAAGCATTTGGCGACTTTAGCAGCGTGGTTGATATTTCTAAGGCTCTGGAAGCAGGTGACGGCACATTCGGGGAGTCGCTTGAGGGAATGGCAGCGGTGGTGTCGGTCCCTGACCTCAATGTAGAGCCTTGACTCGAAGACATGCTTCCAGACCGTGTATTTGAGACATGATGTGCTGATCCAGTTCCAAGTTTCACGCGCTTGGACCACTCGCTTCGCTCTTCGTCCATGTCCTCCGTGGGAAAAGCTCGGGCATCTTCGGCGAGTTGTTGCAGCTCAGCATATGATGCCGCATCCTCAAGAGCCCTGTCCCAGTGGATCTTGGTGATCCTCGGGAAGCGAAGCGCGAAATATCCGGCATTGGATGGTTTCTCGAACCCACTGCCCAGTATCTCGACGATGAAGGGAGTCTTGAACACGACTTCCATTCTGATGGCGACATTTGTTCCATAATGAAGTGAGAACCCGTGGTCAGACTCGGCATTGCAGGCTTGAAACTCGCCAAACTGATTGAGGATCTGCATGTTCTTCAAACTCATGCCATTGCGGCCAAGCACATCCACAACCTTAAATTTAGGAGAAACGTTGAACTGCGCAACTGCATCTTTGTTGGTGAGACAGCCGACGTAGAACTCCGTCCATAGCAGTTTCCTAACTTGATGTAGGGCTGTCGCATCTTGCGGATTGTATCTCGCGCCGATGATTGCAAGGTCAACCGTATCACCCAACCCCGGTATATAATCCTTCTTGAGCTTGATCCAGCGGCCGAACGTGTTGTTCTGATGGGTTGAGAAAATGGTAAAGTAGGGGTCCTCGCATCCTTTGAGTACAAAACCCTCCCACCGCTGTGCAATTCCCTTGGAGAAGATGCTCTCCAGTCGTGCTTGGCCGTCATGTCGCGAGAAATCCACTACTTGTTGTTCAGCAATATCTGCACGCCCGGGAATAACCTGTATAGTATCCTTGAGCAGTAGACGTCGTTCCCGATGCGGCCGCCTTAAACATATATTATCATCGAGAAGCAGAATGTCGAAGAACACCATCATCAGATGTTCATGGGGTTGCGGTCTGGCTGCAGTTAGCAACAGACTTGTGGGTGATATCCAATTGCCAAACTCACAAGGAATCGCTTTCAGTACCAATGAAGGTACCGGAACGAGATATAAATTTACGCAGCTTATGGAAATCCATGATCTTGCGGTGTTTATCACTCCAGACGACTAGTTCGCCTTCAAGAATGCACCTTTGGGAGACCTTACACCCAGGGGCTCCTAATTTCAAGGAGTCTTTGATGACCTGGTGGATACCTACCCTGTCCACAGTAGAATCTTTACCACGTTTAGAGAATATTTGTATGGAATTAGGGCCCAATGTGAGGTTGATATGTACTTGACAGTATTCACCATCGTACTTCCTTTCAATACTCATTCGACGGCGATTGACCATGCGACAGCAGTGCTTGATGCTCCGCGCCTTGTGGTATTCCGGCCGACCAATCTTGACTCCGACCCTAGGATTGAGATGTTGCAAGGCCAGATAAGCCAGGTCCTTGGCCAAGCCAGGGTCTGGGTGTGGCGGGAAATGGCGTATGGGGTCGGAGCGGAGCATGCTGAGCGCACCTTCGAATGTGTCTTGGAAGAGAAGGAGAGGCGGAAAGAGGAAGTGGAAGCTCCGCAACGTCAAAGGTAGAGGGAATACGACAGGGTAATAGCCCTTGAGGATCATCCGCGTTAACCACTTTGCATCTCTGCTCCTTAGTCGCCTGAAGAGAGAGCCTAAAGCCTGCTCGACGTCAACCGCGGTGTGCTGCTTCCGCACTCGAGGGCCGGAGAATCGGCAACGGGCAGCGATACTGTTCAATGCAGAGTCAATCTCCTCTACCGTTACCTCTCGACCGGGGTCAAGATCGTTCTCTGCCTGCCGCATTACATTCTCGACACATTGGCCGAGGTCGAGTCCGCTGGACACACGCCAGCGCTCGAGCTCTTCCCGTCTGGAGGACCCAAGAAGTAAGCATCGCGCTATGATCCTCGCCAGCGAGGTTTCTTGCAGCCAGTAGACCCGGTCTGGCCGTTTCTCGGGAAACATGCAGGACAACAGGGCCAGAAGATCAGTGTCGGGGCCACGTATCTGTCTCCCATGCCGGCAAAACCACCGGGTCACGGCCCGCACATCAGGATTGAAAGCTCGCGCCTCATGTGTCGCCTTCAAGATCCTGTTGGCCTCGAGAGTGGAGAGAAGATCGCACAAATGAGCGAATTTGAACCCCATCAATTAGACGAACGGACGCGTCTGCTGCTGCGAACATTGAGACACCGCTTCCTAGAGGTGCCCAGAGCTTCAAATACACGAGGCCGCATTGACACGATAGAAGATTGAAGGGTCAAAGGATCATGGCAGGGACAATTGAATCTATCTGCAAAGCAAGGGTTCGAGAAAGGTCAGATAAGACCCAGGGAGACGCGTCGATGGATCGTGAAGCCACGTGATCCGAACCAGATTTGGGCTTAATTAGTGGACAATGTTTCTCACCTACTTGTGGAGTGAACACTAGGTTGGACAGCAGAGAAGCTCGGATTATGCTCATGAAATCTTCGCATAGAATACATACTGTGCAGAGCCGTGGGAGCTTCTGCGATTGACTGATCAATTCTAACCAACAATGATACCAGTGGTCCAGGTGACAACCATGAACAACAAGAAAAAGAAAACACCGCCGAACTCCAGGCTTTTCAAAGTAAAGCAACAAGACAATTAGACGAGACCATGTGTTGGAAGAGAAGAACTGAGAAACGCCGATTACAAGATACCTTGTTTCTGGAGATCAAGGTAGATCCTCTCCGGCATCACGTTTCCTTCCGCATCCTCCATCTGCACCACGTTGTCACGGTTGTCTCTGTCCTTCTTACGGTCCTTTTCAAGCTTCTCCCATAGTCGCAATGCCTCATCAATCCGAGTGATCTCACGGAAGAGATTGGTGTTCGACGTGATGCCCAAACACTTCAGGCCGAAGATATGCGGGGCCTCGGAAAAGTGCTTGTCGAAAGCGCGACGGCCCATGTATACGAAGTTTCCGCAGATTTCGCATTGGTATTCCACACCAAGACCGTGCAACTTGTAAAGCCAGTAAGGGATAGGTTTTCCATCCCAGGCAAGTGGCAGTTTGAGAGGGTTGTAGATTCGATCGTCGCCTTCGTCGTCAGATTGGTCGTTTCCACGATCTCCACCGGTGTATTCGGATTCGTTCAGTAGCGCTTCAAGCTCCATTTGACGTTCCCTTTCAGTCATGCCCTGCTTGCGCTCAACGTTGATCTTGGTCGCCTCACGCTCTGCGCTAAGGACTTGTGTAAGGGACCTGACGCGATGTTCCCTCTCTGCCACCGCGCGTTCCTTCAATCTGTGGGCACCTGGGATCCTGCTGCCAGCAGCTGGCGCGGGTCTGTCCCCGGAATCACCAGCAGCCTTACGAGCCTCAGCAGCACGGATATGCTTCTTGCCCGTCAAGTGGTTCTTGTAGACATTCTCATTCTTGAACTCTCTCTCGCAATCAGCACACCAGATGCCTTCCCCGGACCCTTCAGTCTTCGGGCCCTGGGTGCCATTCTCTGCCTTCTCCTCCGTCCAGCCCGGAACCTCATTCGCCGACCATTGTTTCTCGAATTCGTCGTCGAAGCTAGCAAAGAGCTTGCTGAGATCTTGTAGCGGTCTAACCTTCTTGATGAAGCTTTCCAGGTAACTCGCGAGCCCGCCGACGTACTTGAAGTATCTATCTGAGATCTTGTTGCTGCGCTTGATCGGCAATTGCGGGGGTGTAAACGCATCGAAGATGTCGAGGTATTGGACGTACGAAAGTCTCTTCACACCGGGGAGATTCAGGTAGTCCTCGTGCATGGTCGTGAGGTCCAAAAACTGCCCGTAGCTTTCCTCGCCGGTGAACAGATTGTCAACTTCCATTCCGGTCGTCTCACCCTCGCCAAGCTGACGGCGCTTGTAAGCCCGCTCAAGGTTCTCGACCGGTTCATTGGGGTAGCGCTTGTGGAAGCCCTTGATTTCGTCCAGCTGTCGGTAAAACTCCTCGAACTGATCGCCGGTCGAGATAGATTGGATCTCCTTATTGCGCGCGCTATCGGTGTCCTTGTAAATGTCCAGCAGTCTCTTGGACTGTTCCTCTATGCGGTTGAGAAAGTGCGAGACCTCGTGGTCACGGTTCAGGCGGTCGCGTAGCTATATAGACGAGCGATTATTAGCATCTGCGGTGACTGTAACAACGGAGCGCTCACGTACATTACGGGGCTCTTCAGCCACGCGGTCGGCAATGGCCTGCTCCAACCGCTCCAGGTCCTCATGGATAAATCTCTGTTCTTCAAGAATCATGTTGAAAGCGCGCACGGGGTGTCCGTTCGTCTATGCGATGTAATAATCACCCCAGTTTGGAGGATGTTACGCCGCTCTATCGGCGCCACCCATGAGAGCTTTGCGGGCGAATTGCAGTCACGTGGCGCGGGCGGTGAGTCCTCGATCGCCGCGAAAAGTCGCGAGCTCCGGCCACTCCACCAGACCAGTACCTCTGATTCCAGACTTCGGTCCTTTATTGTTTGAATCAATCTATCTTATCAGATATTTCAGTGGAGTCAAAATGGCGGACGGTATTGACAGACGCGCTGATGGTATAACTTCCAAATCGACCTTGAGATCGAGGATTCATTGACTGACCGCGCAAATTCAGACCGGATGGAGTTCAACACCTCGAAGGAGGTCACTGTGGCTCCTACCTTCGAGGACATGCACCTGAAGGAAAGCCTCCTCCGTGGTATCTACGCTTATGGCTACGAATCCCCCTCCGCTGTCCAGTCCCGTGCGATCGTTCAGATCTGCAAGGGTCGCGATACCATTGCCCAGGCGCAATCCGGTACCGGTAAGACAGCTACGTTCTCGATCAGTATCCTCCAGGTTATCGATACCGTTGTTCGCGAAACCCAGGGTATGTGGCTCTCACCATCTCCACCCCACGATTCTGCATGCGAAAGCAAAAGCTCACACATTGACCGGTAGCTCTCGTTCTCTCCCCTACCCGCGAACTTGCCACCCAGATCCAGTCCGTCATCATGGCCCTCGGGGACTACATGAACGTCCAATGCCACGCCTGTATCGGAGGTACCAACATCGGAGAGGATATTCGGAAGCTCGACTACGGCCAGCATGTCGTGTCTGGAACGCCCGGTCGCGTTGCCGACATGATCCGCCGCCGCCACCTGCGCACCCGGCACATCAAGATGCTGGTTCTCGATGAAGCCGACGAGCTCCTGAACCGCGGATTTCGCGAGCAGATCTACGATGTCTACCGCTACTTGCCCCCGGCCACCCAGGTCGTGGTCGTCTCCGCCACACTCCCCTACGATGTGCTCGACATGACGACCAAGTTCATGACCGACCCCGTGCGCGTGCTGGTCAAGCGTGACGAGTTGACGCTCGAAGGCATCAAGCAGTACTTCATCGCCGTCGAGAAGGAGGAGTGGAAGTTCGATACCCTGTGCGATCTGTACGACACCCTGACGATCACGCAAGCCGTCATCTTCTGCAACACGCGCCGCAAGGTCGACTGGCTCACCGACAAAATGCGCGAGGCCAACTTCACCGTCTCCAGCATGCACGGAGAGATGCCCCAGAAGGAGCGTGACAGCATCATGCAGGACTTCCGCCAGGGCAACTCGCGGGTGCTGATCTCCACCGATGTCTGGGCGCGTGGTATCGATGTCCAGCAGGTCTCCCTGGTCATCAACTACGACCTCCCCACCAACCGTGAGAACTACATCCACCGTATCGGTCGTAGCGGTCGTTTCGGTCGCAAGGGTGTCGCCATCAACTTCGTCACCAGCGACGATGTGCGCATCCTCCGGGACATCGAATTGTATTATTCCACTCAAATCGATGAGATGCCTATGAACGGTAAGCGCTTCCGCCCCGTCAATGAAGCCGATATATCATATGCTAATTACCTCCCCCCCAGTTGCCGATCTCCTTTCCTAAACTTTACGAGCCATCTATCTGCAATTTTCTTTCCAGAAGTTCAAGTTGCGCTCGAGTTATGGGATGTCCCGCAAATCAGTTGCTCACTAGCTGGCACCCTTCGTTATCACTTCCCACCATGATCGAAAGAGAGCATCTAGGCTCTGGGCACGACGGAAAGTCAACACTAGTGTGGAGGAAATGGGAAATTTACTAGTCTGGTAAGTCTTTCGACGTCTCATCCAATCGTCAGCGCAGTGCTAACCAAGGCTCCAGTTATGCCACCATCAAATGACGCTTATGCAAGGGTCTTCTTCATTTTCAGGTCTATTCGACGCCCGACCAGCGTTCTGTCGTATCTCTCTGTCTACTTTCTGCGGCGTTCAATCTCTGATCTTCATTTTCTGGGGTAATTCTAGCTTCTTCTGGGGTTCTTTTTCATAGTTAGGAGATACACTGTTCCTTTTCTTCATTTCCAAAACAATATAAAAGCGTTCTGCTATTTGGTTAAGCCTTCTTCATTTCCTTTCGTTTCTTCTCGGTATATCATAGTGGATCCATTCGTGCATTGTTTTAGTCTGCAAAAGCCTCGCCTTTAGACCTAGAAGGACCCCAGCCTCAGCTCCCACTCGAGCACATTACACCCACTGCGCCATCATCCACCAACGCTCACAGAATCGGATCCATACCATAACAGCCTTTCCAAGCTAGGCGTATAGTCCACGCATAATCACGGCATGAATAGCAAAATCAAGGCTGCATCGGACGGGAAAAACTTAGACATATCGAGACGAATAAAAATAATGATACCTGATACCTATAGTAGAGTAACTCATAGCGAGATGAAAGGAAAAAAAGGAAGGGATAAGCCAGACCCAAGTTTTCACTTCGCCGCCCAGGAACCAGTTCCTTGATTTGTCCTAAACCTTCATGATCACCCAAACTGCGAAACGATCAAAAAGAAAAAGAAAAAGAGAGAACGTAATCGAAGGAATGAGTATTCGGACGAGAAACCAGCATGTAAAGTCGTTATGTGTAGCATAGGCACGATGTGTGAATGCGGTTCGCATGCCTGTCGAGGTATGACAGGGCAATGCCGGAGATATTGGGGATGGAGGTTTGAGGGGGCAGAGCGGTTGGTCTGAAGAAATCAATGCACAACATATACGAATGTGTACCAAAAGCAGTGGCGCATGCACACCTTTATTATGTAGAATCACTGGCAAGACCAGAAAATGTTTATATGCAGGGATCAAAAGTGAAATAGTGGTGGTGGGGGATTTGGGGAAGATCGAGTGGAGATAGCCGTGGAATTCGGCAGGGAGGTTCGATCCCAAGAGTAGTTTCATCAGCCGCTTGAAGGTCAGTGTGTATCCCTTCCTCAAGG